TTGAGCTGATTTCGGACGATGTTTGTAATTCTATTAAAATCGAGTTTTGTTTATCAAATAGTTCAAATGGGAGATAACCAACAGGAAGATCCAAGAGCTATGTCTTTAACTGATTTTATAAAAATCAATTCGATATTTAAAAGTGGTTAAGATTGATTTACAGAGTGATTGAATGAGAAAATTGTACCCTTGGTTCCCCCTGTCAACAATATCTACATTTTGTAGATATTGCTAAATATTCTTTAATATTTTAGTACAGTACTTTACGATTAGATGCGACGGCGTGGTTGAATGGAAAAGCATACAACTGCAAACCTGAAATTCTTAAGTAGGCACAATGTCCCTGACCCCCCTCCCCAGCTTAGAGGGGTTCTTTGCTCGTGTTAGGGTGAGTACAGGCGGCTGGGCACAGTGTTGACCAAACTATCCCTTCAAATGACGTGGTTACAGCTATAGGTGAACTCTGCTTCACCCGCCCCAAGGAACGTCATATTCGAAAAAGCAACTTTACACAAAACTACTAAAACTTGTAACCCTTCTCACGCATAATGAAGCAATGTTTTCATGATCGATACTTGGGTAAGTGTTAGCTGTGGTCAAGTCGGTAAAGCTCATGGTTGTTAAACTGAAAAGGCTCGTCAGCTGGGGACAGCCACTCTTCTAGGAGAGACAACTCCAAAATCAAACAACTGCTGCCTTGTAGTTTGTCAATGACCTCAATGGCGCATAACGAGTTGACACGTATACTTAATTGTGCTGGATCCCTTCCAACACTAAAAATTAAGAAGAAGAAGCCAAGCTGTTTAATATGTTTTCCTCATGTTATAGGCTAATCACAAGCAGGGCTGTCGAACAAATTATTTGTTACAACAAATGAGTGAAAGAAACCCAGATAAACAACGAAATATTTGCTCAAAAGATTAAAAGTGTTGAATTAATTCTCCAAACCACACAACTTAGCTTCTGTGTATTTAAATTACACATACGAGATTCATAGATTTAGGAACGAAGAGTAAATAATGTAAATTAGATAGGAACTCTTAAACTAAACTTAGCAGGTTGATTTAGTCTAGACTGTGTACATAGTCCTACAAACCCACGTTTAGTTCATGTGTTGTATCTGTTCTTTCAAAAAGTTCCGTGGTTTGATATACATGGTTTTTAGTTAATGTTAGACAAAAGAAACTTGTGTCTCTTTCAGATAACGAACTGTACGACTGTTGAGTTGGGAAGTAGATTATTAAAATATAATTGATGAGTATGGTAAAGACGACAGCTGATTAATTAAAGGGGAGAGAAAGAGCGACGAAGAAAGTATGAGATGGAGAGATAGATACTTAGAATGAGAAATAGTAAGAACGTCAGACTCGATCAATCCCTACTATCTTTCCATTCTTCCACTTTTAACACTGTCTCTTCTAGAATAGGATGTGGTCAAATGGTAGAAAGTTTGACTGGTAACCCGAAAGTCACGAGTTCAGATCCCAGACTCGAGTCCATATGACGACTCTGACGAACACCTGACTCACGATAATAAAAAAAAGGCTGGGCATAGAGCTATACATTTGCATGCCAAAACCACAGAGGAGCTCTACTTCACCTGGCCCATGGACCTTATGTTTGTAAGGGTTTGTTGTAGGATAGTTTTCGCTATCTCTACGACCTTTAATGAGACATGACCGTAACATTTCACTTTCGTTTTTAAAACGATTGTCAGCAGGTTATTACAGTGACCTAATGACCATTGGATACTGTCACCGCGACCTTAGTGATACTATGTTTATGTAAATTTCCTATTGGCTTTCTATAACATCTCATTACTATGGCTTAGATTTTAATTTATAGATTTCCTGAATATTTCAATATGTTTTATTGTTCAACAGAATCGCTATATAATTTATAAAAATTTCCAGATTGACCAACAGGGTTACAATTGCAGCTAAATAAATTAAAACTTTATAATCTTATTTAGAGTGCGCTTAATAGTTAATTATTTTTTTTAATCCTAGTCTCATTTCTTAGCATAACAACGAATATATATGTAAAGAGATATAACCCTTATATCTCATTTGTTTAGAGTCAGATTAAAGTCACCTGATAAACTTTTTACTGCTAACACTGGTTGAAAGGTTAATCTCGTCGGAGTTACAGTACTACCATAAAATAATCTCAAACCCCATACTCAGCGGGGCTGTTGAAACTCCTGGTGTCGAGGCTATTTCTATTATCTTAAGCGGTGAAGTAAAACCACCAGCTTTCACCCTTCTCCCCCCCCCCCCCCCCCAACTATCCACAGTGCTGGAAAAAGGTAGGGAAGGTGGTTTGGCCACAAGGCTTAGTCTCTGTACCAAACAGTCGGAAGTAAAAATAGTTTGGAGAGTGTTGGAGTGTTTTGATGAATGGCTTTTTATCAAAACGTCATTTGCTTCGTAAGGTTTAGTTACTTTATCAGTTGCACAGCTAGGGGGTCGGTTTTGTACTGGGTTGTTGCGTTGTTTTTTTTTTAAATAAGAATTATGATTACTATCATTTTGGAAATAGTGAATATTTTTAAAACTATTTTTTTTTAAATCTTTGAAACGTGATTATTTTAAAACATGAAAACTGTAGAGAAAGTATTTTCCTAATGATATTTTAACGCCTTTTAACAAAAAAAATGTACACGTACAAACAGCTAACAAAGAGCTCATAACGTTTGACTTAGGAGTAGATAAAGTAGAGTCGACCATTTTCTGTGACTGCTGTGTCATTTAGACTGAGGCTTCTGTTATCTGAAGGGACAGTTGTTATAACCCACCCACCCCCTTCCCACAACCACCAAGACGGTGGTCACGTGTACTTAAACAACAATACAAGACATTTAGCTAAGCTCCCATGGGTGGGGGGGGGGTGGGGACTGACATATCCCCGGGCATTAGTACATACTTAGACGACATCGAATACACCCCAATCATTCCACACCATTGGTCAACGACTTTAAATTTATGACATTTTAATTTGTTCGCGATAAAAACATGAGCTTTGAGAGTATTACTTTCACACTTCAACCATGCCGGAATTAAACCGTAAATCTCCGGTTTTCCGGCAAAGTCTCGATGTAAATCTTCTGTCGTTGATATATTCGACTGGTTATAAATCTAAAGGTGTTATAGTATAACGGGACTGTTAATCTCGCTACTGTTTGATAGGAGTCACACTTACAAACAAGTTCTGATTTATAACTAGAAATACTTCACGTTTTCAATACTTCTATGATAGCAGCATGTTTTGCTAAAAGGCGCTATAATCTCATAAGGCAACTGCTTTCTCTACATTTTTTGTTTTAAAATAATCAAATTCCAATAATAAAAAAAAAGATCTAGATCTAGTTAAAAAACAATATTTACACAGCATTGACGCACACTCTGGTTTGACAACGTTCCTAAACAACGAGTATAAAAATAGACAGGACAAAATGAGGCGGTACAAGTAATTTGGAAAATTATTTGGAGATGTATAGGCCCTACATTAAAGACACTGGCAACCAGTGTTTCCGCTTAGCTGCGCAGTTGCGCGATAGCGCAGAAGTTTTGAACCAGCAGAGCATACCATTTTCTAAAATACATATTATATACTTGTATAAGACTTTTAGAACACCGCGCACACAATATACACGCTCAACATCATCTTTTTCCTCTTAGAGGGAACGTTGTTGGCAGGCAATTAGTATTACACGAGACGAAATTCTAATCAAATGCATTCATAGCGGATCAAGAACATGTACGACTCAACACCATCTAGCTAAGAAAATTGACAACTATACAAAAATCATTTAAAATAGTTGGGAGGTAAACTTGGGAAAAAAGTATAGAAAAGCATGAAAAAATGCAGTAAATACCGAAGAAGAAATCAAGCACAATCATGTTTTTACATTACCATAATATTCGACATGGCCAACTTATTACATAACTCTTCTACCGGGGTCACCACTAGGAATTTCAGCTAGGCGCATTCAAGCATGGAAGCTTTAATTATCACACTCTGAGGGTTTCAATGTACAGTATCTTTCTTTACGGTACACTGAACAGTCGTTTACGCCTTAAGAAGGCATATAGGTCTATATATATATACATATATACATATTATAAATATAAATATATATATATATATATATATATATATATATATATATATATATATATATATATATATATATATATATATATATATATATATACACATATATACATATTATATAAGAAGGCATATAGGTCTATATATATATACATATATACATATTATAAATATATATATATATATATATATATATATATATATATATATATATATATATATATATATATATATATATATATATATATATATATATATATATATATAATTACACATACACACATATATTATAGTGTGTGTGTGTGTTTATTTGTGTGTGTGAGTGTGTGTGTATGTGTGTATGTATGTGTGTGTCTATGTGTATGTGTGTGCGCCGTCCTAGCATATTCTATAGATGTTTGTATTGCCAGCCAGCATAGCTAGTAGTGCACGGTGTAACATATTGACATTCGTACCCGTCTGACGAGTTGTCCTACTTGACTAGAAGTCCCGACACGGTTGGTCGATCTCATACCGAATCGATGGCCGCGGCTGTTTGACCTGACCGCGCTGAGTGCGAGTTACTCGAACTAGTTCGTGGATGCCGACTCGGTGTTTGAACGAGGCTTGACAACACGGTAAAGGGAGGTAAGAAAGAAAGTCTCAACTTGGACATGAAATGACACTGTAATTATTATTATAATAAATTCTGTAGTGCATTATATACTTGAATAGGGCTGGTTTTAATACATGGATTTATTCAGAGAATAAAAAATGACTTAATGTTGTTCTTATATATTTGAATTTTTTATTTACTTCTCACGTTCACTGACAAGACGGTTCAGTTAAACATTTCGAAGCAGGAGTTCTCAAACTTATATTTTCCAGTGTTATCATTGTTTATTTAGTTGTACATTGATAATAGCATATGTTCGTGTAATTAAGAAGGCAAGGCCTGTTCTACAAACGAAGAAAAACAACAACAGAAACCTCTCCAACAGAAACCTCTCCAACAGAAACCTCTCCAACAGAAACCTCTCCAACAGAAACCTCTCCAACAGAAACCTCTCCAACAGAAACCTCTCCAACAGAAACCTCTCCAACAGAAACCTCTCCAACAGAAACCTCTCCAACAGAAACCTCTCCAACAGAAACCTCTCCAACAGAAACCTCTCCAACAGAAACCTCTCCAACAGAAACCTCTCCAACAGAAACCTCTCCAACAGAAACCTCTCCAACAGAAACCTCTCCAACAGAAAACTCTCCAACAGAAACCTCTCCAACAGAAAACTCTCCAACAGAAACCTCTCCAACAGAAACCTCTCCAACAGAAACCTCTCCAACAGAAACCTCTCCAACAGAAACCTCTCCAACAGAAACCTCTCCAACAGAAACCTCTCCAACAGAAACCTCTCCAACAGAAACCTCTCCAACAGAAACCTCTCCAACAGAAACCTCTCCAACAGAAACCTCTCCACTGTCAGAACACCAACAGTTCCAGCGCAAAATTGTTCAAGATTTCTCAGTCCTAAAATTGTTGTTTAATCTTCAGAGGCGTAGCTACCCATTTTGGCGCCCGAGGGGAATTATGAAATTTCCGTCCCCAACCTGTTATAAATGGTATAAAAATCTATTCGCTGGCGAGACACCCCCCCCCCTTGGAGATTGTTTGGTGTGTGCGCTTTAATTATGAAGTAACAAGATTGATGTAGATAACAGTTAAATCAGCCAGTAGAGTAAAGTAATGTCTATTTCCTGAACTTTGAATGTATATAATGCAGTAATGCAGCTCAAAATGAGCTTTTTAATTCTGATCCTACCAGTTTGGCGCCCCCTTTGTTCGGCGCCAGGGCGGGCGCCCCACCCAACCTCCCCTGCCGACGCCTCTGTAAAAAAAAAATCTTGTCTCGATTATATAATTATTTGTTTCTTTTATTTTCCAATGTCATTTTAATTATTTGATTCTTGATATTAACTGTATAATCAACAGCCAATATTAATAAAACATTTCTACTTGGTCTACTATTTTCCGCAGTAAAGTTGACAAAAAAAAATGTTTAAAAAAAATGTTTACCTCCCCTTCTCACCCACTCTTACCCACTTTACTATGGGCGTGTATTCTTTACCAAAATTTATTTTATGCTTCAGATTGGGTATTGAAAATACATTGTTACACTATATAAACACTGAGTTTTTTGACATGTTAAATATTAAACGGTTGAAAATGTTAACACTGAGCTGCTAAAAATGTTAACATTCTATGTTACACAGTCAAACATTAAACTGTAGAATATGTTAACACAGTTGAAGCTCACAAGGCTGAACATAAAACTATAAAACATGTTAACAAGCAATACGGTTACGTAAATTAATAAACCGGGAGTGATCTCCCCTAAACTTTCTCGAATATTCTTATATAAAATAACAGGGGATGGAAACTCGGGCTATAGACATGATTTTTAATCCATTTTAAATACTTAAAGTTTTAAAAATAGAATAAAATATCGTAGACAAATTAATTGCACACCAAGTGAACGCAAATAAAAAAAGCGCATAATAGTGCGCAATATTATTAGTACTTTTAAAATTTACATTAGTTTTTTGAGAAATCGGAAGTAGCGTAAATTACTACTTCCAGTCAACGGAAATTACTCAAAATTTAACAGAAGGTAGAGAATTAGATCTTTTACTTACATGTGAAATTTCATTTTTCTATCTGAAATAGTACTCAAGTTATAGGCTTTTAAAAAATTCAAAGTAGGAAAAGTACCACTTCCGGTTATCGGAAATCGCTCAAAAGTTAATACGGATCTACGATTGTGATAAAATACTTAGATATGAAATTTCATCAACCTAGCTGTAACGGTACTCAAGTTATCGTGTTTACACACGGACAGACAGACAGACACACAGACAGACACACAGACAGACACACAGACATACGGACAAGATTGCAAAATTATGTTTCTCCGTATCAGTGAGGTGTAAAACGTCGAGATTTGTAAAAATTTCGAATTTTTTTTTTTTTTGCACGATTACAAGACTTTCTCTATACTTCGTATATACGAGAAAGTAAAAAACAAACAACTAAACTGCTTTTAAAAAGTTAACGTCATATAATCGTTATCTCATTTAAGCATTAACTATTTACAGCTCTAGCTAGTAGACAGTTAGATCATTTTTTGGCCCGTTTAAAGAAAGGAATGCCGCTTTAAAGATACAAAATGAAAAATAAACAAGAAATTTTACAGCGTTAAATTTTACGGCGTAAAATTGTTACATTAATTTTAGGAGTGCCAGCGTTTCATGCACCAAACTTCTGGTACACCTAACTCGCACCTGTGTTACACCTGACGTGGAAGCAGAATTTTGATTATCGAGTCTCTAATTTTATCCCTGACATCGGTAGCTAATCTGACAGGTGGGTGGACTCGTGATAGTTGTGGTGGCACCCAGTGGCGTAGCCAGGGTCGTCTCAAAAAGGGGTGGGGGGGGGGGGTTCCAATTTTTACCCGGGGACAAACTTTCGATTTGCACCCCCCTCAAACTTTCGATTTGCACCCCCCCCCCCCCCTGTTAACGGTATTAAAAAAATAATGGTAATACTGGTAGCGTATGAATTGTAATAATCAGTAAAAGGCTGGTATTCAACCGGTAGGAGGGTCTGTACCGCTTCTTTACCGGGAATATAGATTCTAGTATAGTTTTACTAGAGGTAATATCATTAAGGTCTGATGACTAAGGGTCAATTCAATGCCCAAAGTTTACAGCCTTAGTAGAATAATAATTTCTCACCTGGTCCGATGACCTCTTGTCTCTGGCAAGGGTTTACGGCCGGTTAATAAAATAAAATAGCAGGTCCGATGACTACGGGTCAACTCAATGCCCGCAGTTTACGGCCTGTAGTAAAATAGAATGAGGCTGTGTATAATATTATATCTACTGCTCCGTGGCTGATACACGTGCAGGATAAAAGTAGTACAAAATGTAGGTAAATGTCTACTCAACTGCCACGTGGAATTACGTCACAGGCAGGAATAGTTTACATCAAATAAGTATTTAAATGCCCTGTGTGCTAAGGCACGGGCAGTGTAAAGTTTAGTTACGTAAATCAGGTAAGTTATCGACTGTCACATGGACTAAGCCACGAACAGGGTAACCGTGTACAGTAACAGTATGTAAGTAATAATGCATAACAGCAAGATAATATATATGATATTTATTGAACTACTTGTTACAATGGTAATCAAATATGTATATCAAAACTGGTAAAGTGAAAATAAGAAATAATTAAGTAAAACCAAACCCAAAACACGTGGAGGTCGGGCCGACGGCCCCAACGCCGCGTGCGACACCACCAGCTGAGCTCAGTGCTGGAAGAGTGCGAGAATCCCTTTGTTGCATCCCCTTATATGCATTAACATTGGCGGTGTGTCACGTGGACAATCTAGCCAACTAGAGAGGAGCCTGTGAGGGGGACGAAATATATGGTTGTACGTAGCAGTAGAGAGGGGGGGGGGGTAATAGAGCAGGTAGAGGGTGGTGGAAGAATTAAATGGGGCTAGCCTAAACGGTTTTACCGTCACACCCCCCTCAAACTTTCGATTTGCACCCCCCTCATACTTTAGATATATACCAAGGGGTCTATGGGGGGGGGGGGGTTATGACCCCCCCCCCCCCAACCCCCCCCCCCCCCCCCCCCCCCCTTGCCTTCGCTACTGGTGGCACCTGATGCTTAGAGGATCAATTTTTAAATAATTATCTTTAAGAACTTAGTCGCGCTGTCAGTTTTGCCTACTAAATGAGTTGTGCATCAAATTACTAAAGTCGTGTTAACTATGGTAGTGAGGTTGGTACATGGTGTGGTGAAGTGGGTAAATATAACGGTGGATATGGTAATATAACGGTGGGTGTGGTGAGTATGATGGCGGATATTGTAAACTCATTACTTAAAATAGGTAGTGTTAAAATTATTATTTTTTCAATTTTAAAGCAACTACACCACACATCCATACATATCTATATAATAATTGGCTTATTGAGGCCGACACGTCCGTAACTTAAAAAAAAAATAACTTTTGTTTAGAACTTTATAGTCTCTATGACACAACTATGTCTTAAAATTACATAATATTTTACATTACACGTTTTTCTTTGTCATATATATATATATATATATATATATATATATATATATATATATATATATATATATATATATATATATATATATATATATATATATATATATATATACATAGTCAAGAAACCATAACTAGATTTCTATTTAATTACAGCAAGTATAAACTATTTTAAAAAGTGTTTACATACGTTGAAATATATCGTCTAAATATATGCTGTTTACTTTAAAAATTATACACCTGATTTTCGCAACAGGTAATCGCATATTAAGAAGAAAAAAATATCTACGTACCCTTGAAACTCTATTAATTCCAATTACACGTTAAGTCCTGATATCTTCGGCTGCGGCGTTTATCAAATGTGTCCATCAAACACACGACACGTCGAGGGTTAATCCGATGATAATACACTCGACTATTTATTTCACACTCGTGCACCGAATTAAAGACTCGTGGCTCCCCCTACGATATGATAAAAATAAAAAAATAAAACCCAGCAAGACGTCAAGGAGTTATTTCCCCTGAACAGGTTGACTATTCAATACAACCGCGGAAGCTAGACACCGTGTATGTGGTTTAAAATACCCCGGGTATGAATGAAATCCCATTCCAGTGTCAAAAGTACCCCACAGTTTGCCGGCGGTGTACCCACAGTTCGTCTTTATGCCGGTCGCCACAAAACTGCGCGTCAGAGTTCATTTCGACGGAGGTTTCGTTTTTTCCCTTCTCGCCTTACCAATCCTGAATTGCTACTACTGCGTGCATTAGATTTTATTTAGTGTACTAACTGACCCTAATCCATTTTTCATTTAAACAGATGGCGTTTATTAACGATATAAAAATAGATGACAGCAAGGTGGGATGGTGTTTTTATAATGAACTTTATACATTTCTTTATTGTTAACGAGTGTATTATGGCTGATGTGGTAAACATATTTTTTTTACCCCCAAGCTGTATTGCAGGAAATGACTGGTAATTAAAATAAATTGCTATCAGAGGCGTAGCGAGGGGGGTGCGGACCGCATTGGGTGACACCATTTAGGGGATGGGTGACACCAAGGCAAAAAATAGCAATATATATAGGGAGAAATTTGAGACGGGGTGTGCAAATCGAAAGTTTGAGGGGGCTCAAATCGAAAATTTGAAAGTTTGTCCCCGGGAAGGGTCGCTACGCCTCTGGGGGTGACACCATTAAGTGCTGCACCGGGTGACACCCGACCTCGCTACGCCACTGATTGCTATTATCAACTTTAAAAAATAGTTTCAATTATTGTTTTACCTTCACAAAAGTTACAGTTGGTGTTGAAATTATTTTTTTAAACATGTTTTTTTTTAAATAAGCTATAGAATATATAGTTTCTATGTGGGCGTTGAAGTATTGATGTGATGAGGTGTGATTTAATCATTGAATACTCTTACGCTTATAAAGGGGTTTTTATAATGCTTTCAAGATGAATGTATCCCACACAAGAAGATGGCATGATTTGTGCATACAAATAGTAATGCTATTTTCCCTGAGAAGCTTAGTACATCTTATTACGTTAAAATCTTCTCCACAGATATCACTGCCCTCTCCAACCTCCCCCCCTCCTCCTCCTTACCCCAAGCGACAGACCAAAGTACGACGATGTATTAAGTTCGGTGACAGCTCTATTATCAGTACCTCGGTCGGTCACCAACTGATGTCAGGTCGGCGATATAACACCTTGACATTTATGACATTATCCCACAGCCAATGACATGTGAAAGCCACGCTATACGTGTACAGTTATATAAGCGATCCCGTAAAATCAAATCAATAGTGTTTTTTTTTTTTAAATGAATTTAAGCTAGTACTTAATTAGCCAATTGTTATATTCAAACGGAACAGGTTGTTGTTGTTTTTTTTTTTAAAATAATAATTGTAGTACTTCTATCTAGACAATGATGTACCACACTACAACACAGTATGTAACGAATGTATTCAAACACAACTTACTTCACACATATTTGGTTATCGTGACAACAACATGAGTTTAAAATATAAATAACAATCCCTACCATCAAACGCCGGCCGCTGTAACTGGAACTGTGTACACAAATACACACCTTATTCCTCATCACTGAACCTACTGACCTAAATAATAAACACATCATTCGAACAGTTATTGATTCAAATTCCAATCACTTTTCAGTGTTCGACTCTTTCTCAGTACAAGAATTCGTTTCGAATTTTAACTCTAGAATTTAAATCTAATCACCGGGGAGGGTTCAGAAGGTAATGTTCTGTTTTTTTTATGTTGTTGTTTTTTGTTTTGTTTCGTTGAAATGTAGAATTAACGAGTGCGGCCATAATTCAATGAATGAAAAAGTTTTATTGCGAATGCAGGCAAAAAAGAAAATGCAAATAAAATAAAAAAAAAAACGCCGCGCGGAATTTTCAGTCGTCTGCTAATCTTAGATCAAACATGGACGGTAGTTGACAGGCATCGCAGAGGAGAGAGGGGGAATAATTTAAATTTTCAACGAGGTGGGAAAGGTGGGGCTACGCTTGAGTGGTTTTGATCAAAAACAGGTCAAACGCAGGTGGGCAGGAGCGAAGTGGGGACGAACACAGGTGATTGGGGCAGGGGGGGGGGGGGAGGGAAGGTAATCTCTGAGATCTGGAACAGGTAATAACAGAAGCAGGGGAAGTAATAGAAAGCCTCGTTCTGAGGTTATCGTGGTAATACAAATCTAACTTCGCTTAGGGCCTATATCGCTAACATACACGCAATCACACATTCACACAATCACGCAATCACACAATCACACAATCACGCAGTAGTACAATCCCATAATCACACAGTCACACTGTCACACAATCACACAATCACACAGTCACACAATCACAGTCACACAATCACAGTCACACAATCACACAATCACACAGTCACACAATCACACAATCACACAATTAAACAATTAAACAATTACACAATTACACAATTACACAATCACACAATCACACAATCACACAATCACACAATCACACAATCACACAATCACACAATCACACAATCACACAATCACACAATCACACAATCACACAATCACACAATCACACTATCACACTATCACACTATCACACAATCACACAATCGCACAATCGCACAATCACACAATCACACAATCACACAATCACACAGTCACACATTCACACAGTCACACAGTAACACAATCACACAGTCACATAAATACACTGTCACACAAACACACAGTCACACAATCACACAGTCACACAATCACACAGTTAAACAAACACACACTCACACAATCACACAGTCACACAATCACACAGTCACACAATCTCACAGTCACAGAATCACACAATCACAAACTCTGAGAGCTGCTACATGTAAATTAACGTCTACTCACTTTTGCTTCCACCTGACCCATTTTTGACTGGCATCCACCCAGCTTTACTCCATTAAGACCATTCCACCCTTGTCTTTTATTCCACCACTCATTTATCTCTGTGTTTAAATCCACGCCATTGAACATCGTTTCCGTTATTTCTCTACACCACCCCTCCATCCTATCTTTTAATCCACATGTCTATTTTCTTTGACTCGACCTTTCCAAATATCTAGGTAGCCAACCCTCCAACACCACCAGGTAGCCAACCATCCAACCCGACCAGGTAGCCAACCATCCAACCCCATCATGTTGCCAATGCCAACCATCCAACCCCACCAGGTAGCCAACCCTCCAACCCCACCAGGTAGCTAAACCAAATCTCTAACCCCACCAGACAGCCAACCACCCAACCCCACCAGGTAGCCAACCCTCCAACCCCCCCAGGTAGCCAACCACCCAACCCCACCTGGTAGCCAACCTTCCAATCTCACTAGGTAGCCAATCCTCCAACCCCCTCAGGTAGCCAACCCTCCAACCCCACCAGGTAGCTAAACCAAATCTCTAACCCCACCAGACAGCCAACCATCTAACCCCTGTAATGGATTGACGATAGAAGCATGTGGTTGTATATAAAACGTTTATTGGCCTTCAACTACATGATGATAACGAGAGAGGGCGGAAGTGACGAGAGACAAAGATATATATACATATAAGGGACATCACTCAAGATAACAGTATAAATATAATACTAATACAAGAGGAGTGAGTTCCCTTGACTTCACAAGTCTCACTATATTACATCCCTTTACCCTTAGTAAACACAACATATCTCTCAATAGAACAATTTGCAGTATCCTAAAATCACCAATTATATTGTAACATGAACACTATGGTAGATTACATCCTTACAAACAATGCACAATATGTTACAACATAATTAAAATACAAAACAATGATGTCAAAGTCCTTTTGACCTTTAAAATCATAGGTCTAACTTATTTGGGACTTTGATTGTCCTGCTTGACCTTCTCAGTGGCTTTTGATTTGGTGACTCAAGATTCTGACCATATGGATTCTCTATCTCAGTAAGTCTAGGATTTAAATCATTAATTCCAGAATTTACATTTTCTGACTCCAGACTACTTGGTTCACTCATATCAACAGAACTTGGTTGTGGAACAAACTGAGTTGGTGTGAACTGTTCAGATTTGGTGGGATTGACAGATTCACACTTATTATCTGCACAAGTTATTTTTAACGGGTCTGCATGTCTACGGACAATAAGTCCATCATTTGTTTTTACTTTATAAGACACAGGTCCTGTACATTGAACAATTTGACCTGGTATCCATTTTTCCTTTCTCCCATAATTTCTTAGATACACATTATCATTAACACCAAATTCTCTTTCAATGGATGATTTGTCATGATTTACTTTTTGTGTATGTTGATGTTGGGAAACAGACCTTTGAACACTTGGATGTAGTAGGTCAAGATGAGTTTTAATTTTCCTACCACATAGCAATTCGCATGGTGCAACACCTGTTGTTATATGAGGAGTTGTGCGGTATTTGGCTAAGAACCTGTTTACTCTTTCTCTAAGAGAAAACTTGTTACCGGTACTCATTTTTACCATAGCGGTTTTGAATATGCTTACCGCTCTTTCAGCTAAACCATTCCCAGCCGGATGATAGGGGGATGTGGTTATATGCTCAATACCATTTGCCACACAAAACAGTTTAAACTCATGAGCTGTGAAACTAGGCCCATTATCTGAAACAATTTGATCTGGTAATCCATGAGTTGAAAATATTTCCTTAAGTTCTATAATGGTATCATTTGCAGTGATTGTGTTCGTGATTTTAACTTCTAACCATTTAGAATGTGAATCAATAACAATTAAGAACATTTTGTTCATGAAAGGTCCTGCGAAATCTATATGTATACGTTTCCATGGTTCGATTGGCCAGTCCCAGTTTTGCAAAGGTGCTGTAGCTGGTTGCTTTGAATGTTGTGCACAGCTTGAACAAAGCTTTACATATTTT